CCCTTTCCCTCATTTCCCTAACCTTCTTGAATATGTCAATTTCTGACCCAGAATCGGATTTTCTGAACATTAAATGCAAGCGGAAACAAAAAAGCGCCAAAATCTGCACTCTGCAACTAATTTATTTCGCATTTCAAAAACACCCGATAAGTTGATAAAACATTCGATAACGTTCTTCCAGGCGAGCGCATTAACTGCGGACACCGTTTTTCGAGAATATTTAAAAGCGGCCCTCCCAAATTGCACTCGATCAGAGTTCAGCAAAAGCTCCACATTTACTATGCCAGTCTGGCAGCTGTTCTGGTTTTATCTTGGCTCATTTTGAAAGTATCTCCCCGACAGCAAAAAGCCTCAATAACCTGACAAAACCCGCGAGGAGATCAGGAAATAAAACAAAACGGTGAAACGGAACTCGGGGGAAAAGTATATTTTCTTGCTTGCTCTTTTGCATACCCCACCGGGTCTTGAAGCTTTTGAATCGATTGAGTGACAGAGGGTAACACGATCACACAGAAATTGCTCAAAATAGCTCATTGGTGTTTAACATGATCCCAGTCCACAGGCAGCGATTACAGATGTGTATGAACACATCCGAAAACAAGCGCGCACAGGGTCAGGGATCACTTGTTAATTTACAGAAGATTTATAATACAAATGTCGTACAGACATTAAAATAATAGTTCAGCTGTTTCAGGGAAGCTGTGGGTGGCTCTTAAAAGAGCCGTTGGGTTTTGGTTGTGTTTTTTTCAAGCACAACGTGGTGTCTCACTTGGAGCTGGTGTACTTGGTCACCGCCTTTGTACCCTCCGACACGGCGTGCTTGGCCAGCTCCCCGGGCAGCAACAGCCGCACGGCGGTCTGGATCTCCCGGGAGCTGATGGTGCTGCGCTTGTTGTAATGGGCCAGGCGAGAAGCCTCCCCAGCGATGCGCTCGAAAATATCGTTGACGAATGAGTTCATGATGCTCATGGCCTTGGAGGAGATGCCGGTGTCGGGGTGAACCTACTTCATCACTTTGTAGATATAGATCGAGTAACTTTCTTTCCTGGACCTTCTCCTCTTCTTGACGCTTTTCGCTGGCGCCCTCTTCACCACTTTCTTCACGCCCTTCTTGGCAACTTGTCCTTTCTTTTCCTCTACCATTGCAATAGTCAATATCCAATACAGGATCAGAGATAACAGGCTCAAAGCTCGCTTTTTATAGCCTGACGGCGTCAGCAATGCTAATGAAGGATGGGAGAAAGCCTTGTTCCTGATTGGGTAGTTCACAAGAATGTTAAAACATGACATTAGCCTTTCTGTGATTGGTTAGTGTGGGACACAACGTGGATCTGCCAGGATCTGCAATGAAATTTCAAACGCAAATCGAAATTTTGTACACGGATCAAACTCCGAGCTTTCTCTAAATCGTGAGATCCTAATCGCGATTTATTCTACATCTTTTGATAATGGTTTTCTTTTCTCCTCCGTTTAAAAATGTCATCACGTTAGTTGTCAAGTGACAAAATGCACTGAAATCTGACAGTGGTGTGTTTCACTCCTGGAAATGATGAAACTACTGACAATTGCATCGTGCTTGATGAACATGGGAGTTAGGGAATGTTCTCTCTTGCTTGTGTTTCTTGTTCTACACTCTCCGAAGTTTAAGGACATTATACCAGCATCTGCTCCGTCAACACCCTTCAGTTTTCGTTTCCTCGAAAGGTTTGACGTCCTTCTTCAAATCTCCAATGAGTATACGCCCAAACTATTCATACTTTCCTCAGAATACCTGCCAGCGTGTGTCGGTATCAGTTTTACTCGGATTACCTCGATGACAAAAGAGAACTGATGTACTGTGACCCGTGCCTTTCGCTTTCTGCTGATTACACACATTTTACTCTCTATCCCTGAGGCTCTTCAATCAGTATCAGCAGCTTTCTGCCTACATTTCAGTTCCTGGAATCTTGCTTTGCGCTTAATTAGTGTGGATGTTATTTTGTGCATTTCAGTTTCCAGCAATAATTGTTTTTCATGGATTTTCTCTGAACTTTATTTGTCAACACGTCAGTTGTATTCACACTGATTATTGTCATTTAAGAATATTTTGAACACAGTACCTTTTGCAAATTTTAATTGTGACAATCTCTTGTGTGTAGATTTTTTTTTTGTTTTATCACTATCAATGAGTCCCTGATTACAGTGTGAATGATATTGTGTTGTTCAGAATTTCAGGTTGACTCAGGGTTAGTTTTATTTCTCATTATTGGCTGTGTAAAAATGGGAATGCAGTTATCGATCTGCCATTTCAGCTTCCACTAGGTGAATGATTATTACTCCCTCACGATCTGTCCATCAGTTTCTGCTGACCGAATGTGAGTGTGTAGTAATCAATCTGTACCAATCAGTTCCTCCAGTGATTATGCTTGTGTAATTATCAGTCTATCCCCGAAGCTCTCTCCTGTGTGAATGTGTAATTGCAGTTATCAATCTGTCGCTATCAGGCCTTTGCTCTGTACGTGTGTGCGTGTATTTACCAATTTCTGCTGTGAATGAGAGTTTAGTTATCGATATGTTTATGTTCATTTCACAGCCTCTCTCTCAGTTTCTTGCATTGGGAATATGGAAATGTATTTACTATCTGTACCTGTCCGTTTCTATCACGTGAAAATGTAATTGTTGTCATTAATGTCTCCCTGTCAGTTAGTGCAATTCAAGATTGTGACTGTAGTTATTAACCTGGCCCTCTTAGTTTCTGTTATGTCCAGATTGATCTGGACCTGTCAATTTCTGCTAGGTGCATATGTGAGTGTCAATACATGCCTGTCAGTTTCTTGTCTGAACATGTGAATGTAGTTATCAAAACTGTACCTGTCAGTTAACTTGCTGTGAAACCGGGTGTGTAATTATCAATTTGCTCTTATCAATTTCTGCATTGTGAATACGAGTGTGCTTACTCATCTTTCTAGGACAGTTATTGTTGTGTGAATGTGTGAGCGTATTTACCAATCTGTTACTGCCAGTTTCTGAAATTTGAATGTGATTTTATTTATCAATCTGTACCAGTCAGTTTTTATTTTAGCACTTTCAGTCTCTACCTGACAGGTTCTGCTATTTCAACATTTGAGTTCAGTTACTGATCTGTAATGCCAGTTTCTGCTTGGTGAATGTTTCAGCACAGTTATTCATTTGTACCTCATACTTTCTGATATCTGTAATTGTAGTTATTAACCTGTTTTTGTTGGTAAGTGCAATGTGAATGAGAATGTAGTTATTTGGCAGTTTCTGTCATGTGAACATCTGAGTATCATGAATCTATCCATCACTATTACCACAATATTAGTGGTGTGACTAGTTATCAACATGTCAGTTTCTGCTGCGAGAAGATATGGCTGTAGTTATCCATCCGGCCTGTCAGTTTCTGCAATGTCAATTTGTATGTTTAGTTATGGATTTACATCTGTCATTTTCTGCTCAGAGTGTGTGTGAGAGAGTGTGCATGTGTAGTTATCAATACGTACCTGTCAGATTCTGCACTGTTGATATGCATGCAGTTATTAATCTGCACCTGGCAGTTCATGCTGTGTGACACTGGGAGGGTTATTACCAAGCTGTTCCTGTCAGTTTCTGCTGTATGGATATGTGAAGTTAGTAATCAATATGTACCTGTAAGAATCTGCTTGTGAAAATTGGTGTGTAGTTATCATACTGCACCTGGCAGTTTTTTTTCAAATCTGTGGATATTTGAATGCAGTTATAAAATTGGACCTGACAGGTTATGCTGTGAATCTGGGAGTGTTATTATCAATCTGTACTTCTGTATTTCTATGATGTGGATATGTCAGGTCCTGTTAGTTTGATATGTGAGCATAGTTATTAATGTGTACATATCCCTTTTTATAATGTGAATTTGTGAATGTTTTTAGCAAACTTTACCTGTTAATTTTGCTATGTCAATATATGAGTGTCATCATCAATCTGTTTTTGCCTGTTTCTGCAATGTGAATGAATGAGCAGAGCTATCAATACATGCTTGTCAGTTTCGATTTGATAACGTGGCTTAACTCTCTGGCAGCCAGTAATATTCTCAGTGAGAATGCCATTTGTTATGTGGTAGTTGTAATTAGGGTGATTTAATGCAGCTTAGATTCAGTTCCTGAGTGTATATTTGGGACAAGTATTCGGTCCATCCATCTTCAAAACTGGTGTAAATGTGAATGGGCTATGAATGCTGAAATGTGACGTTGACTTGCTCACCGAGCTGGCTTGTTTGTGTTCACACATTGCGTCACCACGCGAGGTGATATCATCAGTGGAGCCTTCGATGAAGCGATGTTGTTCGCCTCCTCGTGGAATTTATACTGTCTGGTCCATTATGGTGAGTACTGTCATTTCAGTTTTGATCTGTATGGGTTTATATATGGGGTCCAACTCTATATGTTTGTGTGGAGAACCATGCCTCTAGGAATTTCTGTGCGTGTCTATGTTTAGCTTGGGCTACTATGGTTACTTTGTCCAACAAAAACAAAGTTGCTGGAAAAGCTCAGCTGGTCTGGCAGAATCTGTAAGGAAAAAACAGAGTTAACCTTTCGGGTCCAGTGACCCTTCCTCAGAACCAGTTACTGATGAGCTTTTCCAGCAACTTTGTTTTTGTTCCTGATTTACAGCATCCACAGTTCTTTCAGTTTTTATATGGTTACTTTGTCCCATTTCAACGGATGGCCTTCATTGTCTGAATGTATTGTATATTCAGACAATGAAGGCCATCAGGTTAACTGGGACAAGTAACCAAAGTAGCCCAAGCCAAACATAGACACAGATGGGAATTCCTAGAGGCATGGTTTTCCATCCATACTTCAATCAACAAACATATAGAATCGGACCCCATATATAAACTCATACAGATCAAAACCAGAAGTGACAGTACTCACCATAACAGACCAGACGGTATAAATTCCACGCGGAGTAGAACACATCACTTCATCAGAGGCTCCACTGATGATGTCACCAAGCATGGTGATGAAAACGTCTGAACAAAAACAAGCCAGCTCAGCGAGCAAGTCAGCAACATTATCCACTACCCGAGCTGCAGATCTTTGCCAAACCTTAAATGCTGCAATTTGTTCAAACTGGGCAGGTGTGCATTGTGAATGGTGGAAAAAAAAAACTTGTATTTCCTCTGTGTTGTTTGAGCATATCTCACTGGAAATTGACTTCAATGTATGTCTGACTCAATCTGCTCTGTGCCTGTGGGAAGGATGTTCTCTGCTCTGACAGCGGTAAAATACCTTCTGTTTCTTAGAAGCAGCTGGTCACACTTGGCTTTGGACCGAGGGAATATCACTTTCTCTTCGTCCTTCAGGTATTTGCCTGGAGATAGACAGAAGAAAAACCTCCTGTAAATCAACATCAGCCAAGTTTGATAATATTTAATTGATCAATGCAATGTTTAGTTAATAATCATTACAATATTTTATTTCAAGCCAGGAATTTGAACAGAATTGTGTGTCTGATGCCACTCTTGCTCTAAGCTGCTCCCTGTCTGGTGATTTTTCTTTTTGTTAATTCCATACCAATTGAGTGAAGTCCAGAAACTAACCAACAGGTGTACAGTTCCATGAATGGGGCTACCCAATGCAAGTGGATCTGTGAATATGAGTTTAGTTGCTGATCTATTCATGTCAGTACCTACTTGGTGAATGATAACTCACTCACACAATCTAAGCCTTTGCTAAATTACTTATGTAGTCACATAGCAGAGACTGACAGGGACAGATTGATATAGAACCATACATCCATTGAAATGATATAGCACTGAAGAGGGCTGTTTGGCCTATCTTGTGCATTCCAACCTGAAGACAAACAGATGGCTATTCTAATCCCACCTTCCTGCACACAGCCCACAGCCCCACAGATTAAAGCACTGTCAGTTTCTGTAATATCAATGTATTGATCAATTTGTCATCTTAGTATCCGTTTTGTGGATATGTAAATATAGTTATCAATTTGTACCAGCCAACTTTTTCTGTATGAATATTTGAATGTAGTTATCCATCTCTACCTGTGAAATCCAAATACAGTTATTAATATGTACCCCTCAGTCTCTACAATTTCAATGTCCAAGTTTAATTACCAGCCTGTATCTGTCAGTTTTGCTCTGTTCATCTGAGAGTGTCAGTATTAATCTGTACCTGTCAGTTTCTGGTTTGTTAATGTGTGAATGCATTTATCAATATGTACCTGTCAGTTTCAGCCAATGTGAATGTGTGAGTGCAGTTATTAATCTGTGCCTGTCAGATTCTGCTATGTGAATTTGTCTGTCATTTTAAGTCTCTACCTGTCAGTTTTGTCATGTGAACAAGTGATTGTCAATCAATATGTCCCACTCAGTTGCTGCAATGAGAAGGTGTGACTGTGGTTATCAATCTACAGTCATCAATCTGTCCATGCCACTTTCTTCCATGTGAATACACGTGTGTTGTTATCAATCTGTAGCTGTCAGTTTCTGCTCTGAGAGTGTGGGTGTATTTGTCAATCTGTTCCTGTCAGTCTCAGCAATGTGCACATGTTAGTCTATTTATCAATCTTTCCTCATCAGTTTCTGCTCTCTGAATCGGAGTGTTCATTTATCATTTTTTCACTGTTAGGTTTTGGTTTTGTGAATGTGTGAATGTATTTATAATTCTGTACCTGTCAGTTTTTGCTATGAGTTTATCTGTGAATTTAGTTTCGATCTGTTCCTATCAGACTTTTGTGTGTGAATCTGTAAATGTAGTTACCAATCTATACCTGTCAGTTTTGCTTGCTGAATGTGCGTGTGTAATCGTTAGTCTATCCCTGATCGATTCCGCTCTGTGAATATGAGAATTTTGGAAGCAACTGCTCCTCACAGTCTCTGCAACATGAATGTATGATGTACTTATCAATTTTTCCCTGTTAATTTCTGCTCGGTGAATGCGAGAGTGTTATTATCAGTACATACATGTGTTATTCTGCCCTGTGAATATTTCAACGTCTTTATCAAATTTTGGATAAATTTTAGAGATGGAGAACATATTCAAATTTTGTCAGGAAATTTTCACTGCATACGAGAGTGCACCCGTCAGTTTCTGCAATGTGAATACATGAGCGCAAGTTTGAATCTATGCCTGTCAGTTTCTACCAAGTCAGTAAGTGAGTGCAGTTATCCGTACCTGTCAGATTCTGCTGTGTGAAATTGAGTGTAAATATCAAACTGTATCTGTGATTCTATGCTATGTGATGTGGGAGTGTTATTATCCATTTGTTCCTGTGAGTTTATTATGTGACTACGAGAGTGTAATTCCAAACCTGTCCCTGTCAGTGTCTCCTCTATATATCTAAGAAAGGAATTAATCTGTACCTGCCACTTCTTGCGATGTGAATTTCAGTGTAGATATCAACCAACACCGAGCAGTTTCAGCTATGAGATTGAGAGTGTTGCTATCAGTCTCTAACTTTCAGTTTCTGCTATTTCAATATGAGTTTAGTTATCAATTTGTACCTGTCTGATTCAGCTTTATGAATACATAAATGTAGTTATCATCATGTACCAGTCAGTTTCTGCTAGGTGAATATGTCAATCATTCCTTATCAGTATGTGTGTTGTGAGTATGTGAATGTGATTATCAATTTGTAAACCTGTCAGTTTCTGCTCTGTGAATATGAGAGTGGCGGTTATCATCTGGAGCTGTCAGTTTCTGCTACGTGAATGAATGAGTGTAGTTGTCAACCTGTTCCTGTCAGTTTGAGCTGTGTATGTGTCAGTGTAGTTATCCATCTGTATCTGTCAATTTCTGCAAGGTGAATGTGACAGAGTAGTTATCAATATGTACCTGTGAGATTCTGCTCTGTGATTATTTGAGTATAGTTATCAAACTGTACTTGACAGTTTTTCTTTCCTTTGTGAATATGAGAACGTAGTTGTAAGTCTTTACCTGTTAGATTGTAATGTGGGAATGTTCGTATCAGTGTCTGCAAGGTGAGTATACTTATCCATCTGTGCCTGTTGTTTTCTGCTATCTGAATGTAAGAGTGCAGGCATCAATCTATGCCTCTCAGTTTCTGCTATGTCAATATGTGAGTTTGGTTTTTCATCTTTACCTGTCAGTTCCTGAGATGTGAATGTGTGGGTGCAGTTATTAACATAACCCCGAGTGTTTCTGCTTGTAAAAATGCAACCATATTCATTAAATCGTACCTGTCATTTTCAGACATGTGAATATGAAAATGTAGTTATCAGTCTGTGACTGTCAGTTTCTGTTCTGTAATTGAGAGAGTGTGCTTATCAATGTGTACCAACCAGTTTCTGTTGTGTGAATATGATTGTCATTATCAATATGGACCTTGTCAGTTTCTCCCCAGTGAATATTCTTGTGTAATTATCAGACTATACCTGCAAGTTTCTGCTCTGTGAATTATTAATTATTAATTCATTAGTTATTACCCTCTGCCCATCAGTTTCTGGTTTGCTAATGTGTGAGTGCATTTATCAATTTCTACGTGCCAATTTTTGCAATATGAACTTGTGCATACAGTTATCAATCCGTTCCTGTCAGCATCCCTTCTGTTAATATAAAAGTGCAGTTATCAATCAGTTCTGTCACTTTTAGCTCCATGAATTTGAGCGTGTAATTACCAATCCATAACTGTCAGGTTCAGCTATGTGAATGTGAATAGAAAAAGCAATAGTCTAATGGTATTATTGCTGGACCATTAATCCAGAGAGGAGAGCCAGATATTGTTCTGTGGACGCCGGTTCAAATCCCATCATGGCAGATGGTGGAATTTTAATTCAACAATAAACTAAAAATAAGAGTTTACTGCCAATTCTCCACGAAACAAATCTGGTCCTCTAACGTCCTTTTGGGAACAAAATCTGCCATCCTTACCTGGTCTGGCCAACATGTGATTCCAGACCCACAGCAATGTGGTTGGCACTTAACTGCCTTCTGTGCACAATGAGGGATAGTCAGTGACGCACACATCCCATGAATGAAAAAAAAAAGGAAACATGTGGGAATGCAGTTATCAATCTGTCTCTGCCAGTCTCTGTTTTTTTTATTGTGATGAAAGTTATCATCCTGTACCGGTCAATTTCTGCAATGCCAGTATATGACTGCAGTTATTAATTTGTACCAATTTTTCTTGGTTTACAATGTCAATATGAGAGAATTGATCTGTACCTGTCAGTTTCTGCTATGTGAGTGTATTTATCAAATTGTTCCTGTCAGTTTCTGCTTTGTCAATCTGAGAGTGCAGTTATTCATCTATACCTGTCAGTTTCTGCAAGGTGAATGTAAGAGTTCTGTTATGAACATATACCATCAGATTCTGCTCTGCGAGTATGTGAGAGCAGTTATCATGCTGTCATCATCAACTTCTGCTCTGTAAATCTGAGTGTAGTTATTCATCTGCATTTGTCAGTTTCAGGTTTGCGAATGTGAGTCATTATCATTCTCTCCCCATCTGTTTCTCTTATTTGAATAAGAGTTTAGTTATCATTCTGTCCTTGTGGAGGAGAGGGAACTTGGGGAAATAAATATGGATGTCTTGAAAACAGTCCACATGACATAACAGGAGGTGTTAGAGGTGGTAAAAAATACATAAAGGTGGCTAAATCGCCAGGGCCTGATCAAATTTTTGTAGATTTTCAGGATATCAGGATTTTGCGGGAAGCTGTGTTGATAATTTGAACAAATGACATTGTTTTCTTGCTTTCTTATAATATTTCATAGATAGGATCATTCCATCCCGGTCACTTATTGCAATATGAATGTGCGACTATGGTTATCAAATCTGTACTCTCAGTTTCCGTTATGTGAATGTGAGAGTGCAGTTATAAATCTCAGTTTCTGCAATGATAATGAGAGTGTAATTATCAGTCTCTGTCAGTTTCTGAGAGATCCAAATGTGGGTTGAGTTATTAATCAGTACCTGTCAGTTTCTGTCATATGAATGTGAGTGTCATCAATCTGTCCCTGACAGTTACTGTAATGCAGGTGGGTGACTGTAGTTATCAAGCTGTAGCTCTCTGTTACTGCCATGTCAATGAGTGTAGTTGTGCATCTATATCTTTGGTTTCTGATGGTCAATTCGTGAGTGTAGTTGTCATTTCTATACCTGTTTGTATTTGCTTGTCAATCTGAGTTTAGTTATCGATCTGTACTTGTCAGATTCTGCTCTGTGAAAATGTCAGATTAGTTATAAAACTGTACCTGTCAATTTAAACAATGTGAAACTGGGAGTTTTATTATTAATCTGTTCCTGTCAGTTTTTGCTGTGTGGATATGATAGATTTGTGATCAAACTTTCTCTGTCAGTAACTACCATGTGAACGTCTGAGTCTATTTACCAGTCAGTCCCTGTCAGTTTCAGTTCTGTGTATCTGAGTGTGCAGTTATTAATCTGTAACTGGCAGTCTCTGCTACGTGACTATTTCAGGGCATTTATCAATCTTTCCCTATCAGCTCGTGAGTGTGCTGTGAATGTGTGAATGTGCTTAGCAATTTGGACCTGCCTGTTCTGGTATAGAAATATAAATAGCAATTTCTCCTTGTCAGTTTCTGATGTATGTGTTTATGAGTGTAGTTAGCAATCTGTACATATATGTTTCTACAACATGAATAAGAGTGCAGATATCAATCTTTCTCTGTATGTTTCTATTCTGTGAATATCTAAGTATAGTTATCAATCTGCACGTGCCAGATACTGCTTTGTGAATCTGTGAATTTAGTTATCAATCCATGCCTGTCAGTTTCTGCTTTGAGAATGTATGAGTGCAGTTATCAACCCGTACCTGTCAGTTTTTGCTCCATGCATTTGTTTTGTGAATGGATTGTGTAATGTAAAAGCAAAGGGTTTTGTAACTCCAACAGTGCAGAGTCTAACTGGGAGACATTATATCAAGGGCTGTTCTTCAGGATGTCAGCTTTTCCGAGTGCATAGTAACATGATTTTGTGAATAATGCTGAGGAATGGATAGATGTGACTTCCTTTGTTAGACTCTAAGGGGAAGGGCAAAGAATAAATCAACTGTATTCAGCTGAATGACCACAATGTTCCTTCTACAGGAAAGAGTATTGGCTAATTCACTTAATTATTCTATCATGGATATCACATAACCCTGCTCTGTGGTGTTATGGTGCAAGCCATCAGCAATACTCTTATGATGCTCTGTGGTGGGGATGAGGAAAGCAAAAAGACTTGTATTTTCTGTCTTACAGTGGAGAAGATTTAAACTTATTGAACATGGTTGAACTCTTTTTGCTAAAAAAGAGATAAAATTTAACAATTCCAAGATTTAGTTAAATGGATCATTCTTCATTACTTTAAATGGTGATTATATCATTAATGTGAAGAAATTGCATTCTATTTTCTTGCTTTTTTGCAATATTTTATTGGGAGGGGCAAGTGACACTGTAGAAAACTAATGTGAATTTGGAAACAAAGTTAAACAATGTTCTTTTTTCAAAAAAAAAAAAAATTTGCCAGAAAATATGGTTTCTATTCCTGAAGGTGAACAAGTTGAGAATTATGTTGTGATAAAGTTGGGGTTGGCAAATCGTATACTGCCATGACATACTTATTGCAATGGAATGCTGGCTGAATGGAATTAGAATTGTCAGGTGCTTGTTTTTGTCTACTATCAGCTTGATGGGCTGAAAGGTCTTTTTTCTATCCTGTAGACTCCTCTGCTTATATAACGAAGAGCCACAAACATTTTATATGTATTTGCTTCTGTTACCTGTAGTGTGTATGGGGATACATTGTTGTTAGTCTTTGTATCTTATGTGTTGATACAATGAGCATATTTGGGACTCAGTCTGAATCAGTTAGCACCTTTGTGTATGTGTCTGTATGCGCTCAGTAGTGATTTGCTACTTGTCAGTAACACTACTTGTCACATGTGGTTGTTGAAACTATGTAACAACGTGATGTCTTTCTTTGAGGGGGTAACAAGGTGTAGAGCTGGATGAACACAGCAGTCCAGGCAGCATCAGAGGAGCAGAAAAGCTGACGTTTTGGGACTGGACCCTATTTCAGAAATGGGGGAGGGGAAGGGGACTCTGAAATAAATAGACAGAGGTGAGGAGACGATGAAGGAAGGTGGATAAAGGACCAGATAGGTGGAGAGAAGATGGGCAGGTCAAGGAGGTGGGGATGAGGCTAGTAGGCAGGAAGTGCGGGTGGGGGTTGGTCAGCGAGGTGGGAGGAGCGGATCGGTGGGAGAAGCGAATCGGTGGGAGAAAAGATGGACAGGTCAAGGAGGCAGGGACGAGCTGGGCTGGTTTTGGGATGAGGTTGGGGGTGGGGAGATTTTGAAGCTTGTGAAGTCCACATTGAGACCATTGGGTTGCAGGGTTCCCAAGCGAAATATGAGGTGCTGTTCCTGCAGCCTTCGGGTGGCATCGTTGTGACACTGGAGGAGGCCTGGGATGGACATACCGTCCAAGGAGTGGGAGAGGGATTTGAAGTGGTTTGCGACTGGGAGGTGCAGTCATTTGTCATGATGCGAGCGTAGGTGTTCGACAAAGCGGTCTCCAAGCCTCTGCTTGGTTTCCCCGATGTAGAGGAGGCCACATCGGGAACAGTGGATACAATACACCACATTAGCAGATGTGCAGGTGAACATCTGTTTAATGTGGAAGGTTTTCTTGGGGCCTGGGATGGGGATGAGGGAAGAGGTGTCAGGGCAGGTGTAGCACTTCCTGCGGTTGCAGGGAAAAGTGCCAAGGGTGGTGGGGCTAGTGGGGAGTGCAGAGTGGACGAGGGAGTCACAGAGAGAATGGTCCCTCCGGAAGGCAGATAAGGGTGGGGAGGGAAAAATGTCCTTGGTAGTGGGGTCAGATTGTAGGTGGTGGAAGTAGCGGAGGATGATGCGTTGAATCCGGAGGTTGGTGGAGTGATACGTGAGGACAAGGGGGATTCTGTCTTTGTTGTTATTGTGGAAGGGGAGTGTGAGGGATGAGTTGCGAGAAACATGAGAGATGCGGTCGAAGGCATTTTCGATCACTGTGGAGGGGAAATTGCAGTCCTTGAAAAACGAGGACATCTGCGATGTCCGGGAGTGGAATGCCTCATCTCAGGAGCAGATGCGGCAGAGGTGAAGGATTTGGGAATAGAGGATGGCATTCTTGCAGGAAGGTGGGTGAGAGGAGGTGTATTCAAGGTTGCTGTGGGAGTCGGTAGGCTTGAAATAGATATCAGTTTCCAGTTGGTTGCCAGAGATGGAAACAGAGATGTCCAGGAAGGAGAGAGAGGTATCAGAGATGGTCCAGGTGAACTCAAGGTTGGGGTGGAAGGTGTTAGTAAAGTGGATGAACTGTTCGAGCTCCTCGTGGGAGCACGAGGTGGCGCCGATACAGTCATCGATATAACGGAAGATGGGGCCAGTGCAGCTGCAGAAGAGCAGCTGTTCCATGTATCCTACAAAGAGGCAGGCATAGCTTGGGCCCATGCGTGTACCCATGGCCACCCCCTTTGTCTGTAGGAAGTGGGAGGAGAAGTTGTTCAGGGTAAGGGCGAGTTCAGCTAAGCAGATAAGGATGTCGGTGGAGGGGGACTGGTTGGGCCTGCGGGAGATGGAAGAAGCCAAGGGCTTTTAGGCCATCTGCATGGGGATTGCAAGTATACAGGGACTGTACGTCCACAGTGAAGATGAGGTGTTGAGGACGAGGGAATCGGACGTTTTGAAGGAGGTGGAGGGCGTGGGTGGTGTCACAGATGTAGGTGGGGAGTTCCTGGACCAGGGAGGAGAAAATGGAGTTGAGATAATTGGAGATAAGTTCGGTGGGGCAGGATCACGCAGAGACAATGGGTCAACTAGGGCAGTCAGGTTTGTGGATTTTGGGAAGGAGGCGGAAATGGGTGGTGCGGGGTTGGGGAACGATGAGGTCGGAGGCTGTGGGTGGGAAGTTACTTGAGGTGATGAGGTTGTGGATGGTCTGAGAGATGATGTTTTGGTGGTCAGGGGTGGGTTCATGATCAAGGGGGTAGTAGGAGGAGTCTTTCTTTATCTGGTTTGTGACATTATAAAATACCCTTACTAAATGTAAACTTGATTCCTTTCCTGTTTGAGCACTTTCAACAAGGAGTCAGCCGTTAACATTTCAAACAACATGATGTAAATGTTAATGGGCTATGAATGATATTAATTGGAACTAGCATGATGTCAATTGACAATGGAAACAAAACAAAACTTGCCTTTCCTCAGTTATGCTTGGTTGGTTGTATCTTTGGATATATCTCTGGAAATTGAGCTCAATATAAGTCTGATTCAACCCGCTCTGTCACTGTGGAAAGGATATTCTCCATTCTGATCGCAGTAACATACCTGCTGTTAGTTAGAAGCAGCTGCTCACACTTGGCTTTGTACCGACAAAATATTACATCATCTTGGTCCTTCGAGTATTTTCCTGGAGGAAGACAAAAGAGATATCTCCTGTAAATCAACATCAGCCAAGTTTGACAATCTCAAACAGATTAACGTATATTCAGTTAATAGTTATTAGGGTGTTTCTTTTCTTTAACTTCACCTGTCAAAGGAGCAGAACTCCAAAAGCTTATGATTTTAAATAAACCTATTGGACAAGAACTTTGTGTCATGAGAATTCTGTCTTTTCTTTAAAGCCATCAATTCAAACACAAGTCTGATTCCATTCTTATATCGAGCTGCTCCTTGTCTGAGGATTTTTTTAAAAATATATAATTCGATACCAATTGAGTGAGATTCAGAAACTAAGCAATAATTGCACAGCTCCATCTGAGGTGCTACCCAAAGATGCTGCAATGTTGACACAGTTCATGTTACCAGATTCCAACACACTAACTGTTGAAAAGAACAATAGGCACTATTTCAAATGTTTTACTCCAGACATATGATCTGTTAGCTCCAATCTACGTGCTACACAAGATACTTGTATTCCCACAATCTTGTCTATGTTTCCACTATTTACCACACAATGTCAACAAACAGCGTGAAATAGAGGCCAAACAGTAATTTGCATCAGTGTTTAGAGATTTCAAAACCACAAGAATGACCCCCAGCAGCTTCTTGCCGCTTGTGTTCGGACCACACACAGCCCGAGAAAGGCCTCTCTCTTGCCCGTCAGGCCGCTCACTCCAAGTTCCGGGATCAGTTCCTGCCCCGCTCGGCCTCTCACAAACAGCCCCCGGTTCTCCCTGAACTGAGCCCGAACCAACGCCGGTCTCGGAGCACCCTCTGTGTCCGAGACTCACACCTCGATATGTTGCCGGAAGGAGCCTGCTGTTCCCTCGTTTCCCTGGGCGCTGGTCTCTCCATTGCGGTCTGTTTCAAACAAACCTCTTCCACTCACTGAGTAAATGCTCCTCAATGGCAGCGCGGGGTGTAATACAGCCCAGACAAACTGATCAACCGGCCGTGTAACCGCGGTTAATCAATCTTATCAAACCCGCCGATTTAACATTTTCAAAACGAATATTTACAGAATCCCATTTTTTCGGTACATTTTTATTTCGCCTAGATTGTAAGCAGAACACAATTTGTAATTGCTGCCTGAAATGTCTTTAACAGGTAAATGGAAGGAATACACCATTAAAATATCGCCAGGGGTCCCAGCATCAAAACTAAACAAAATATAATTCCTGTAAGGGTTAATGAGATACAGAAACTGCAATATGTAACATTAGTGTCTGGGCAGAATTCCAACTCACCGTATGAAATAACGAGATGCAGTTCCATTGACCATGTGATACCTTCCCCATTCTCAGTCTCCGCTCTCGTAAATCACGGCAAGTGTGATATTTAAGTTACTCGAATCAATTCATGTTTAGGCTATGTCTGCACTCGGAACCGGGACAGGGATCATTCGATCCGGGCTCAGCTCTTTCCTGAGAGACGTGGGTGGCTCTGAGAAGAGCCTTTGGGTTCAGGTGGTTACATGTTGCACAGACTGCTTCATTTCTTTGCTGCTTTCTTGGTCACTTTCGCTTTGGGCTTGGCCTTCGGTTTCCCCGACTTCGGGACCGGTTTTGCGGCCTTGGGGCTCTTGGTCTTTTTCACCTTCTTCACGGGAGTCTTTTTCTCAGGCGCTGCTTTCTTCACCGCTTTCTTTGGCGTTGCTGCCTTCTTGACGGCCGCTTTCTTGACTGGGGATTTCTTCGATGTCACCTTCTTGGCCGTTGTTTTCTTCACGGCTGGTTTCTTGGCGGATGCTGCTGGTCTCGTCTTCTTTCCCACTTTTGCCTTGACTGGATTCTTAGGGAGTTTGAAGGAGCCGGAGACGCCCTGGCCCTTGACCAGAACCAAGGAGCCTTTCGCCAGACACCTCTTGATAGCCATCCTGATCTGTGCATTTTGCTTCTCCTCACTGACCCCGCTTCTCTGCAGCGCCTTCTTTATTGCGGCCAGAGACGTTCCCTTCCGATCGCTGCTCTCCCCGACAATCTTCACAATCCGCTCGCCCAACCCGGGACCGGCTGGTTGTTTCCTGGGAGCCGCCGCCTTCTTCTTCTTGGGAGTCTTGGGTTTGGTGCTGGCGGAAGCTGGAGGAGCCGTTTCGGCGGCTGCACTGTCGTTCATGTCGAGAACTCTGCGCTGAATCTCTCTCTGTCAGACTGAACTGGGTCAGCAATAAAGCTGCTGGTGGCGGCACTGAGCAACTTAAAGGCAGCGAGCGGACGGCGCGGAGACAACCTGCCCTCAGCTCCCTGCTCCTGCTGCCTCTCTGTGTTTCTCTCTCGGCAGAAACTCTCCAATTCCTCTGCAATTCCGCATCTCCAGATAGCCAGGCTCGATCGTTCCTGACCCTGACACGGGAAGATTTGCGGCCAAAATGTTTTCACTCGAATTGACGGCTCCGTTGTCGAGTTGACTGCATTTTGCTGCTGCACTGATCGCACTCTCTGAGCTGAGAGCTGACATTATCGTCACTCTTAGATTGAAATCTTAAAATCAACAAATACATTGGCTTGAATTCTAGCTTTGGGGTTTAGCGAGGGAGCCGGGGGATAAGTTGAATTGAAAATCTTTTTGATTTCCACAGGAAATACTCAGAAATATCATGATATGAGCGGACACACAAACACAGTTACGTGAGACTCACCCGCCCGCCCTTTACCAACAGTCTCTCTGACTCAATATTCTCATTCATACAGTCACAGGCCAGAAATATCGCGAAATATAAATGTGGAAGGATATAATTTCTTTTCCTTTCAGCCTTTGCTCCGATATCCAGGGAGTTAGTTGCAGTTTTTTTTTCTCCTTCGTAACCGTTAAACTCTCTGAGGTCTGCGCGCCGGAGATTCGCTCTTCTCCAGATTCAGCTGCAAGAGCCAATCATCTGGTTTGAAGTTATATTGACCCACATTAGTATTTTTCATTCCGGCGACTATACTCAACTTTGGTTCTGGAAATCAACAGACACAGAAACATAGATAATGGCAACTGGACCTAACTAATCGTCCCTTCAAACCTCTCCTCCCACTCATCAAAATGGCAGATCATCCAACTCAATAGCCTGTGTCCGTTTTTCTCTCATATAGAGTCATACAGCAAGGATACAGACCCTTAAGTCCAATCAGTAGATGCCGAATATAATGCCAAACTGAACTAGTTCCCCCTCCCTCTCACTGGCCTAGTTCCTTTCAAACAAGTCATATTGATGTACTTATCCGAATATCGTTTTAATGTTGTAATTGTAGCCACATAGACCATTTCGTCAGGAAGTTCATTCCACATGCATCAGGCTCCATGAATAAAAATACCCCGTGTGTCTTTTTTTAAAAATCTATCTCCTGTCACTTTAAAAATGTCCACGCTGCTCTTCAATTACCCGCATCTCAGGCAAAAGACAATTACCATTAACTCTGTCTTACCCCCTCATTATTTTATAAATTTCTATAAGCTGACTTTCAACATCCTGCACTCCAGTGAAAAAAATACTCCCAGCCTATCCATCCTTTCTTTATAACTCGAACCTTACATACTCGGCAACTACTGATGAATCTCTTCAGAACCGTCTCCAGCTCAATACTATATTTCCTCACCCTCACCCCCATCCCAGGCCCCAGGCCCCAGGCCCCCGGAAGACTTTCCACATCAAGCAGATGTTCACCTGCACATCTGCCAATGTGGTATACTGCATCCGCTGTACCCGGTGTGGCCTCCTCTACATCGGGGAAACCAAGCGGAGGCTCGAGGACTGCTTTGCAGAACATCTACGCTCGGTTCGCAATAAACAACTGCACCTCCCTGTCGCGAACCATTTCAACTCCCCCTCCCATTCCTCAGACGACATGTCCATCCTGGGCCTCCTGCAGTGCCACAACGATGCCACCCGAAGGTTGCAGGAACAGCAACTCATATTCCGCTTGGGAACCGTGCAGCCCTATGGTATCAATGTGGATTTCACAAGCTTCAAAATCTCCCCTCCCCCCACTGCATCCCAAAACCAGCCCAGCTCGTCCCCGCCTCCCTAACCTGTTCTTCCCCCCACCTATCCCCTCCTCCAACCTCAAGCCGCAGCCCCATCTCCTTCCTACTAACCACATCCCGCCCCCTTGATTTGTCCGTCCTCCCTGGACTGACCTATCCCCTCCCTTACTCCCCACCTACACTCACCTTTACTGGCTCCATCGCCGCCTCTTCGACCTGTCTGTTTCCAAGCCACCTATCTTCTCCTCTATCCATCTTCTATCCGCCTCCCCCTCTCTCCCTATTTATTTCAGAATCCCCTTCCCCTCCCCCATTTCTGATGAAGGGTCTAGGCCCGAAACGTCAGCCTTTTTGCTCCTATGATGCTGCTTGGCCTGCTGTGTTCATCCAGCTCTGCACCTTGTTGTCTCACTGTCTTTCCTCTCACTGGCCGACCAAAACTGGTCGCAGTATTTCAGAAGTGGCCTCTCCCAATGCCCTGTGTAACCTCAATGTGATTGCCACCTCCTAAACTCAAAGGACTGAGCAGCGAAGGAAAGCGTGCCAAACTCCTTTTTAACCACCCTGTTTAGATGTGATGCAGACTGAAAAGAATTCTCGGCCCCTCTGTTCTACAACACTACCCAAAGCCCGACCATTAATTGTATAAGGCCTACCCTTGCATGCTGCACCAAAATGTAAAACCTCACATTTATCCAAATTGAACTCCATCTGCCATTTTGCAGCCCATTGCCGATTAGATCACGATCCCTTTGTAATCTCAGAAAACATTCTTCACTCACTACTAACTTTGCTATCATTCACAAACGTGCTACCATGCCTGCTATATTCTCATTCAAATCATTTTTATATATTACAAACAATAACGGAGCCAGTACCAATGCCTGTGGAAACCACTGGTGACAGGCCTCCAGTCTGAAAAACAACCGTCCATCTTCACTCTCTGTCTCTTGCCGTTAAGCCAATTAAACCTTGATTCCCTTTAGCCACAATTGCTACACCCAATACCATTTTGAAATCACACAGTGTATTGGATGTAGCTGATTTCTGTGGCAGAGAATTCCACAGGCATACCGTTCTCTGAATGAAGAATACTCTCACTTTCTCAGCCCTAAATGGCCAATCCCTTCTCTGAAACATATGACTCCTACCATCAGGAATATTCTTCCTGCATTTACATTGTTGAGGTCTGCCAGGGTCTTACAGGTTTCTAAGAGAATCCCTCATTCTTCTGAATTTAAGCCCATATATTCACAAACACTTCAACCTCTCCTTCCATCCCAATGATCTGCCCATTAAAACTACCTTAAGACTAACACCATCCTTCCTCAGAAAAGGAGGCCACACCTGCTGTCAGTATTCTAGGTGTTGTCTCACAGATGCCCTGTTAAATTGTCGCAATTTATCCTTTCTCCTGTACTCAAATTTACTCTCCATGAAGGCCAACATACCAGTTGCCTTCCTTACTGCCTGCTGCACCTACATGCTTACTTTCAGTGATTGGTTTGTGAGGGCACCGAGGTCTCGTTGCAAATTCCACTGTGTCCAATTATGGACTTCCAGAAAATGACGTGCCTTCCTTTTATTTTGCTACCAAAGTGTATAACCTTACATTTATCCACATTATACAGTGCCTCAGATGCATTTGCCCACTGACTCGACTTCTTCACAAACAATGCATCCTCTTAAAGAGCTGACCATCCAATCCAATTTTGTCTCATCAATAAATCTGGAGATATTACATTTAGTTCCCTCATCTAAACCATTGTGAATATATTGTGAAGAGCTTTGATCCTAAAACTGATTCTTGCCATGACCCCTCGTCACTGTTTGCCATTGAGAAAAAGATCCATTCATTTCTTTTGTGTTTCCTCTTATCCGAGTAGTTTTTTTTGAGAAAGTCATCCTCAATGCTCTGCACCAATCCCATTTCCTTGATTTTAACATGCTAATATCTTATGTGGGATTTTGGATAAAAAGCTTTTGTAAATTAGAATTATCACCTCTGCTTTATCATCTTTTCTTCAGTAGAGTTGTCAGGCTGGGAACATCGAACAATACAGCAGAGGAACAGGCCTTTCAAATCCATGCTGACTCTGTCTGTTTCTGACATCTTATCCCAAATTATCTGCAATAAAATATTCTTTTCCTGCAGGTTGACTGTTGTAAAATTCCAAGTTTTATCTCTACTTCCCTTTTCAAATAGATTGCTTACAGTAGCTACCCTCCAATCTTTGGAAATTATTGTAGAGCCTATAGAGGTTTGGAACATGACCAGCAATGCATCCACTATTTCAAAGGCTACTGTGTTAAGTGCTCTGGAACTTAAATTATCTGTCCCTGGTGTTTCCCAGCCATCAATTCTATCAATTTTTTCAACACAATTTACTGAATAACACTGATTTGATTCAGTTTCTCCCTCTCACTGAACTCTGTTTCCCCAGCATTCCTGGTGTGTTATATGTGTCCTCCGTTGTGAACAGAGAACAAAAGTAAGTATTCAGTTGGATAGACATCTTTATTCCCCGTAATGGACTCCCCTCTTTTTGATTGTAAGTGACGTGTTTACCAAAGTAGTTTTATTTCCATTCTCATTTTACATATTTATCAATACATTAACAGTTAGCTTTTTTTTAATGGCTTCTGCAAACATAACCTTTTCCTCATTTGCTCATTCATCATCAATACTTTTTTTTTTCTTCTTTCCTGGTTTTGAAATGTTCCCCAGCTTCAGGGACTTCTTTTTTCTCTTTCAATATCTTTTTCTTCTCAATTTGTATGCCTCTTCTGTGGATCAAAAACTAAGTTGAATAGCCCTCTTAAACTACAAATTTGTGAACTGTAAAAAGAGCACCTCCCATGCTCATGAATACATCCACTTAAAAGGATTTGGGCAGCAGATGTGGAGGAACACAATTTCGATCCAGGACAAGTTCCCTTCCAAGCCACCCACCATCCGAACTTGGAAATATATCCCCTTTCCTTCATTGTCCTTGGATCAAGATCCTGGAATTGCCTGCTAAAGGCATTGTGGGCAGCAGATGGACTACAACTGTTCTAGAAGACGGCTCGGCACCACCTTCTCAAAGGAGCAATTAGGGACGGACAATAACTGCTGGGCCCAGCCAGCGATATCCATCTCCCAGGAGTAAGTTTCGAAAACATCTGGAGTCGTTCTTTGCGGTACCCTGTACATCACAAGGTTTCTGTCAGCAGCATACTGAGAATAAAATCAGTCATCTACTCAAAACTGTTATTTGCATCGAGTCCAAAGATGTTATGACACACCTCTGGTCCGGGTGTGACTTTAGCACGGTCCTCCTGACCCAGAAATAGGGACACGACCACTGCGCCGCAAGACTCCCTCCAACAGTTATATTCTGCCTTCATAAGAATGTCCCATTTATTTCATCGCTCTGTATGTTACTTTGACAGTGTTAATATATGGGGACGAAGGTCAGCACAATGGAATACTACAGTCTACATAAGATCAGACGTGATGTTTTGAATTGTGGAGCACATTTAACGGGCTGAATGGCCGTCAGCTTCTCCACTTCCCCATCAGATTGTGAAACAGCCGGAAGGAGGCAGTTATTAACATGATCCGGGAAACGATCGAAATTCATCGTTCAGCTTCTGTTTCACGCTGTTTTTTGCGAATTGGCATTGAATCGTGGGAAAGAAAAGTCATTATATACAAACGTTCTCTGTCCTTTCCCCCACAGCCCCCAGTTGCTTTGCTCAAACTGGGAGAAAAGTGAACTGGGGAAATGGTCAATTTATGTTTGTTTTGGGAATGATTTGGAAAAGTAGCGCATGCGCAAGGCTGGCCCCGCCCCCTATACTGCTGTTGGCTGTCTGGAGGAGCGCATGCGTGAAGCCCTCCCCCAGCGCTGCCATTGAGGAGCATTTACTCAGTGAGTGGAAGAGGTTTGTTTGAAGCAGACCGCAATGGAGAGACCAGCGCCCAGGGAAGCGAGGGAACAGCAGGCTCCTTCCAGCAGCACATCGAGATGTGAGTCTGGGACACAGAGGGGGGTTCCGACAGCGGCATTGATTCGGGCTCAGTTCAGGGAGACCCGGGGGCTGTTTGTAAGAGGCCGAGCGGAGCAGGAACTGGTCCCGGAACTTGGAGTGAGCGGCCTGGGGTGGGGGAAGAGAGAGGCCTTTCTCGGGCTGTGTGTGGGCCTGCTGATGGAGACACAGCGGCAAGAAGCTGCTGGGGGTCGTTTTTTGTGGTTTTTCCTCCACTAAACACTGATGGAAAATCATCGTTTAGCTTCTGTTTCACGCTGTTGTTGTTTGCGAATTGGCATTGAATCGTGGGAAAGAAAAGTCATTATATGCAAATGTGATAGTTATGTAAGTGATAAATATAGCAGTAACCGGGTTAATAGTCTCAAGTAAAATATTCGAAAACGTGATCGTTGTCCTTCCCTTCAACAGTTAGTGAATTGGGAGCTGGATATTGAACTGTGTAAGCGTTTCATTCATGAAGCTGTACAGGTGTTGGTTAGGTTTTTTTTTAAGTCTTTTGTGATTGTTTTTTTTTTGAATTTCGCAAAAAGAACGGGACGAGGAGGAGCTCAGAGTAATTATGTAACCAGATCCTGCTCTGTTCAAATTGCTGGCTTTAAAACAAGGAATCATCATTCACATTAACTAAATATTGCATCGATCAGTTTGATATTTTCAATCTCGGTTGATGTTGATTTACAGCAGATATCTCTTCTATTTCCGGGCACATATTTGATGGGCCAAGACAGTGTAATATTTCCTCGGTACAACACCAAGTGTGACCAGCTGCTCTGCCAAACAGCAGGTATGTTACCAATGTCAGAGCAGAGAACATTTTTTTCCACAGTCACAGCTGATTGAGCTCAATGCGAGTCTGATTCAATGTCCAGAGATATACAATCAATCCAAGGGTCAAACACCACCAACAAAATACAAATATATCTTTCTTTTCTCTATTCTCGATATAAACAGCCTGGTTCCAGTAAAGTTCATCTTTGAAAGCCCATTGTCATTCACAACATTTGAAGAGGGATAGATTGAATCTTCTCCACAATTCAATAACTGTATGAATTCACATTAAGTAAGGGCATTTTCAAAGTTACAATCAAAGTATACAAATAGATCAACATTTTACATCATTTCAATAACCATATATGGAGTAGATATTGAGTTCAGACACAGATGGAAACTTTTGATGTTATCAGTGACTGAGGAGGACAAAGATAACAAACAAAAGCAGAAGTTTCTGGAAAAGCTCAGCAGGTCTGGCAGTGAAGAGAAATCAGAGTTAACGTTTCAGATCCGGTGACCTTTGTTCAGAACTGGGAAAGTGTCACCAGGTCTGAAACGTTAACTTTGATTTCCCTGCACAGATGCTGCCAGCCCTGCTGAGCATTTCCAGCA